AGCAATCATTTCATTCTATTCTGTTGATACAGCTATAAACATGAATAGTAAATATCATGCTTTCCTCTTCCAGGAGGATTGTGAGGACTATGTTATAAACTCAATGGAAAGCTAATTTTATTCCATACTTTAGGGCCTTTCCACAGGCTGATCTCTTCCCAGAACACCCTTCAGAGAGAACCAAGCTGGCTCCTTCATCTCCTCCAAATTATAATTCATATGTCTCCTTTTCAATTATACCTCCCCTGACCACCAGATAAATGAAAACTCATTCCTATTTTATGCTGCTCCTCTCTGTTCTGGTTTCTTTTTGTTTTGTTTCATTTCAGTACTAGGAATTGAAGCCAGGAGAGCTTTACTACTGAATTACATCCCAGTCCTTTTTATTTATTTATTTATTTTAAAGAGAGAGAGAGAGAGAGAATGAGAATTTTAATATTTATTTTTTAGTTATCAGCGGACACAACATCTTTGTTTGTATGTGGTGCTGAACCTGGGCCGCACGCATGCCAGGAGAGTGTGCTACTGCTTGAGCCACATCCTCAGCCCCTCCCAGTCCTTTTTATATTTTTATTTTTGTCACAATATRTGATGGAATCAGTGTCGCTCCGTGTGGATTGGGCTGGCAACAACAACAAAAAAAAAAACACACAAACACAGAAAATACCTTTTTGGGGGTTCAGGATAGCTCTGCAGCCTCAAGAATCAAGTTCCCATGCTGGAAGGCAAGGAGGCAAGAGGCAAGAGGAAGAGGCAGGCAAGGGAACAAGCACGCTCTGAACCCTGGTGAGGAAAATTTATTAGGAAAAATTTTTTAGGAAAAATTTCCACCCAAATAAGTCAGGGATTGGGTTTCAGAGGGTGGAGTCTTACTTGGTGATGTCTTACGGTCAGCAGTTTTAATGACATCTTGGAAAGTCACGCCTATCTCAGGTGTTGTGTGGGATCATAGGCAGAGTGAGAGGAAAGGCATACATACATGGCACAGCCCAATCAGGCAGCATCAGTCCAGTTCCCTCATACACTCAAATGTGCATAGCTCACACACACACAGCCCATATTTTATTGATTGATTGATTGATTGAGACAGGGTCTCACTAAATTGCTGAGGCTGATCTCAAACTTGTGATCCTCCTCCTGCTTCAGCCTCTCAGTCACTGGGATTACAGGCATGGGTTGCCACACCCAACTCTACTTTCTTCTATTTCTAAAGCACTGTATCACTTCTAATATTCTATATAATTTAGTGATTATGGGTTTTGTATATTTCCTCTTCTAGAATAGAAATTCTGTGAAGAAGGGGTTTAGTACTTTGCTCACTGATGTGTCAAGGCCTTACCACAGCATCTGATGGCCTTGAGCACAGAAGTAGGTATTCAGTGGGTGCTTGCTGATTAAGTGCCCCTTATGGTTTGATCCTCACTTCTTTTCTAGGTCTTTAGTGTTCCACTGATCCTTCTGTCACCATCATTGAGGTTGAGTGTGGGGAAGTGATGTCATACACTACTTTGGACCAGATCAATGAAAAAGAATTTGGACGTAAACAAACCACAAAACCAAACAAGTAAACCATTTCCAACAATTCCCATTTCCAACATCTCCTATAATTTTCTCTTTACTCTAGTCTTGCCCCATCAGGCTCTTTTCTCTTCCCTGACCCCCTTCTCCATTTCTTTCTCATCTATTTGGGAAGTCCTTCCTTCTCTTAAAATTTCACCTTTGCCCCTTTAGTCTCTATTTTGTGACCACTTTCTCTTCTGTGAGCTTTGCTTTTCTTTTTCCTAAGTATGTGAGAGAAGAAGGGGCTATCTGAGCTCTGGGGTTGGAGTCACAGAGGGACCAATCCAGGCTTAAGTGCTGAAAGTACTTGTGGCATATAGTAGTACCACAGGTAAAGACATTTTAGCTGGGATCTTGTCCCTGGGGCCTAAGCAGCTCAGAAAGTTCAAGAAAGGACTAGGGATAAGGATTGGCAGGGTTGTAGTATGCTCATAAACATGCAACAGCTTCTTCTTCACCTGGGAATTCATGTGAGGAGGAAGAAAGAGGTGCTGAAGTGCTGCAGCAGCATGAGTAGTATTTTCCTAAAGCAAACATTTATAGGTACCATTTAGATTTCCAGAGTAAAGATTTGGCTGAATTTGTGTGGAAGAAGCTGCAGGTCAGTGTAAATGGTACAGGTGTGCAGAGTTTGCTCATGGAAGGATAGGGAAGGAAGCTATCATTTACTTGGCACCTCTAGTATATCACAAAAGACCAAACCTGAGTATTGGTTAATACTCAGGGCTCTCTGGGACCTTGATATTCAAAATATACCTCATGAAGCAGCAGCATCACCTGAGAGCTCATTTAAAATGCAGATTCCTGGGATCCCTTCTAGACTTTCTAATTAGAATCTGCATTTTAATGAAATCCCAGGTGATTCTCAGGCACTCTAAAATGTGATAAGCACTATTATAATTTGGATTTAACTGCCTGGTAATTATTCTAATCATGAATGAAACAGTAAAGGAATTTTAAAGAGGTTTTTGGTATGGTTCCAAAGTTACAAGGAAAAGTATATACATATACATATAATTTGGGTGGATACCAGAGATTGAACCCAGGGGCACTTTACCACTGAACCACATTCCTAGCCTTTTTTATTTTTTGAAACAGGTATTGCTATGATGCCCAGGCTGACCTCAAACTTATAATCCTCCTACCTCAGCCACCCAAGTCACTAGGATTACAGGTGTGTGCCACCATACCCAGCAGAGCATTATACTTCTAAACTGAATTTTTATTTACTCTTTATATTCTGATTCAGATTCTAATTGTAAGGAAAAATATAACAAGAATATCAGCAGAAGCATTTAATATCCTATTTAGTTTTAACTTGATTACAGTTTCACCTACCAATACCTAATACCTATTAGATGGTATTATTTCTTATGTAACTCATAGTTCTTCTTTATTTAAAGCTATGGTTCAAGAGCTTTACAAGTTTGTATTCACTTAGTCTTATATATTTTATGAGAATGGTAGTGATATCTGTTTTCCAAATGGAGAGACTATAGCATAGGGGCATTCCTCAATAAATGATTAAGGGCTTTAGGTCCCATAATTCACAAATAGAGAAGAAGGATTTGAATCTGTATCTGAATAGTCTAGTGTCAAGAGTCTGTGTTTAAAGTAAAAGGCCTAACATGCCAGTCTCTCCAGTTAAATACCAGCTGCCTGAGATCAGAGACCCCTTTTCTTTATAAAGCTACTTCAATGATGCTGCTTGCAATGGCACTTAAAATGGCTAACTAACACTCAAAAGGCAATGGCAAGGAAATAATAATGCTGCAAGAAAAGGTAAGTAAAGAGGTACTTTGTGGAGAACAGAGGTTTTAAAGTATCACATCACTCATTATATATATATAAAGGAAATCTTAAATATGCTAATGACCTTCCCTGAGGACTTGGAGTCAGGTGTGAAATGGGACTTAGATTTCCACACCACCAACGCTGCTGGTTTTACACACAGATTTTTAAGATTTTTAAACTGTCAAGACCACAGGGATACTACTTCTTAGTTAATGAGTATACCACCCCACCTCTTCTAATGAAAGTGCTATGGAAGTCTCCCATCATGCTGTCTTTTTTTTGTGTGTGGGGCGGGGTATGTGTGTGTGTGTGWGAGAGAGACATAGTCTCACTATGTTGAGACTTTGAATATTTGAACTTCCACCCCTGACCAGCATGGGCAGCTGAACTAAGATCACTTGTGTGAATTTGCAGGGTCACAAAATAAAACACAGACACAATTTACCTTACAGAAGCTTCAGGATGGCTTCCCTGGCTCTCGGCCTCAAGCTCCCCAAAAGGGAGAGTAAGAGAAAGAGAGTAAGAGAAAGAGGCTGACGAGAGAGAGAGAGAGAGAGAGAGAGAGAGRGRGGGGGGGGGGGAGCATGCTCAGAAGTGAGCTTTTATTAGGGGGACTCTGTTCTTAGAAAGTTCTATCTATAACAGTGCAGAAGGGGTAGGGCTACAAGGGAATAGGTGAGTGTAACTCAACCCTAGGGTTACGCCCACAAAGAAGACCTCCTCACTATTCAAGCATTCTCTGCCAAAGCCACAACAAATGCAGTGGTTGGTCAGAGCCTGAGATATCAGGACTGGAAGGTGTGGTCATTCAGTGTGGCTCCCCACACTGGACTCAAGTGATTCTTCTATCTCAGCCTCTCAGGTAGCTGGGACTACAGGCCTGTCTTCCTGTCACATTGTTAGAGAAAACCACAACAATGATTTCCTGATAGAATGACTCCTATTCCCAGAAGCTTTAAGTGTGTTTAAAAAATAACTCCTACAGAAAAAAATACTCACTTCTGTATATCCTTTCAACTTACCATGTCTTTAAAAAGTATGCATTCATACTATCCTTTTAGAATTGGTCATTGGCCAATATTCAGCATTACTCAAAAACAACCTCTCAATGCCAATTTATTTCCAGATAAGATTTGGTCCATTTAAGGGAAATCATTAAGAATGAACCAAGGGACAGGGAATAAGGAGGCTGCCCATATCCACAGACATCCACCCAGGAGACACCAGCCTTTGATTTATAGATAAGGTATTCATTCCTAAGCAAAACAAATTTGATAAAAATAGAATAAGTCACTTAAAAATCTTTCCAAGAAAGTCCCATTTAGGGGCCTGAAAGTACATGAAATTAGACCAGTTCAGCAACAGTATGGATTCTAAAATGGCTAATAAGGTGGCAGTGATGACCGAAGGTTTCCCACACTCATCACACTTATAAGGTCTCTCTCCAGTGTGGCTTCTTTGATGTTTCATAAGGAGTGTCCACCTACTAAAGCTTTTACACCACTGACTGCATTGATAAGGTTTCTCATCAGTGTGGATTTAGAGATGCTGGAAAAGTCCTGCATTCTGACTAAAGGCTTTGCCATACTGATTACACTGATAGCATTTCTCTTCAGTGTGTAATCTAAAGAGCTGAGGCAGAAAGCCTTTCCACATGCTTCACATTGATAGGGTTTTTCTCCTGTGTGGATTCTTCTGTGTCTGATGAGGCTATTGCTGGCACTGAAGGATTTCCCACACTCCCTTACATTGATAGGGTTTCTCTCCAGTGTGGTTCCACTGATGTTCAATCAGGCTGAAAGCCTTCCTACATCCTTCACATTCATGTGGCTTCTCCCCAGTGTGGATTCTCTGGTGCTGAATGAGGACTGAGCTCTGAGTGAAGCTTTTTCCACATTCATTCCACTGGTGACATCTTTCTCCAACAGAATGGCAACTCTGCTTTTCTACCTTGTTCTCATGTTTACAAGTTTCTCTGTACTTAGAATCCAGAGAAACATTTTTTTGGAATCTGCTCTCCCCCAAAATGTTCCATTTCTTTTAAGACTTTCTGTTTTGATACCAACTTCTGGTTTTCAGGTATAGTCTTAGCCCCTGGAATAATAAATGGACCAAACAATGTCATCCTTCTCCATTATGAAAAAGCACTATCATAGGATGGAAATCAGATATATATATTCTAAGAATGCAAACCTGAAAGTTTAATGTCAGGAGTTTTAAATAGGGATATTAAGGTCAAGRGCATTGCTGAAATTGCTGGAAGGGATTACCCAGAAAAAGCAAGATTCCCAGAGAGGATGCACATGACCAGTTACTACAAACTATTCACTAAAAGACTAGCACTGTTCTAAGTGTTTCATACATATTAACTTGTTGAATTCTAAACTATTTGACTGAGGTATGATGATTAGCCCCATTTCATAGATGCATCAACTGAAGGAACAGAGAGCTTCCTTGAACCGCTTGTTGTCAAGAGCTATGGAGTAGCAATGCTTAAATTCTAACTCAGGCAATTTGGCTCCAAAGTCCTCAGTCTTAAACAATTTCCTACACAGAGCCAATGGAGATCTCCTGAATGGACCTGTCAAAGTCCTTACCTTGTTCTTGAAATTGGTGGAGGCCAAAAGCTTCATATTTGAACTGTGTGTCACCATAGACTGGAGCTGGGTGACTGTTGATTCCTGCTTGCCCTTGGGATGTACCATGTCCTCTGTAAGCACGTTAACATGTCTGTATTCCTGGTATGGGGCCTGAAGGCAGGTATATTTGGGTTCATAAGAGAAAGACTATGAGAGTACAAGCTAATACTTAATTAAAGAGATCATATGGAATCATTTGAAACATTTTCTAAAGCAGTGGCTCAATGTAAGGAGCAGAGTTTAGTTTCTTACTCAAAAAGAGAACAGGGGGATGGTTTAAAATAGGTAGTTTTTGATAGTCCTCCCTTTAAAAGACAGAGTCTAACTCCCCTTCCCTTGAGTGTGTACTGTACTTAATGACTCACTTCTACTGAACAAAAGTGTGACAGAAATGATGGTATATAACTTCTATGTCATGAAAAGCATTGTGGCTCTTTCCTTTCTTTTTCCTCCTGAGAAAACCAGCTGATATGTCATAAAGATATTGAAGCAGGTCTAAGAGGAGACTGATGGAGCAAAGAACTAAAACCTCCTGTCAATAGCCAGAGAGAAAATTAAGCTGCCAACAACCATAAAAGTGAGCCATCTTGGAATTGGATCCACCAGCCTCATTCAAGTTATCAGATGACTATAGTCTTGGCTGACATCATCACTGCTACCTAACAGGAGATTCTTCTAAGTAGCTCCCAAATTCCTGACTCATAAAAACTGATGTTGTTGCTATTGTTAAGCTAGTAAAGTTCAGGGGCAACTGTTTATACAGTAACAGAGAACTAAGACATGTAGTTAAAGCCAACTAACCTGTGTCACCAAACTTCACTCTTCATTTAGTATTCAATGTCTAGAAGCCCATCTTCCTCCTCTTACCTGGTTCCCAGGCTCACCAAGCTCTTGCTCCAGATCTTCCACCACAGCTACTCTCTAGATGGTGCACCCAGGCCTGTAGCTCCTCAGGTAGAATGATCAGGAGCTGCTCTAGCACCAGCAGCTCTAGAATATGCTCCTTGGTGTGAATCTCTAGTCTCCGCCACTGATGACAGAGTTCTTGGAGCCTGCTTAGAGCTTCTCAAGGACCAGGAATCTCTTGGAAACAAAATTGTCTTTAAAAGTCCGTGTGAGGCCTCCTGGCCAGAAAAGCTGTTCACTGGAAGGTAGGTTTCTTGATCCCAGAGAGGATCTTCTTCCACCTTCACAATCTTAAGTTCATCCTGTTCCTCTGTTGAAGCCATTCTGGAACTAATTTAGAAGACTCACACCAACTTGGGGTAAAAAAGAAAAATCTGTGATTTAAGATTTAATCTTCTTTTTAAATTTTTTTTGGTAGTTGTAAACAATAACTTTATTTTATTTATTTATTTATTTTTATGTGGTGCTGAGGATCCAACCCAGAGCCTTGCACATGTGAGGTGAGCGCTCTACCGCTGAGCCATAACCCCAGCACTTTGATTTAATCTTCTTAAGGAGGATATACCTAATGATAGAACATTATGTATTAACAGAAAATAAAACAATAAGAAATGCAAAGTATTAAAATAAATGAATAGAATACTATCATTTATGTTAATAAACAGTATATTAGGTATTTAGTTTGTTTAGAAACCGGAAAAAGAGTATGGCAGAATACATCAATGGCCTCAAGTCTTCACCCTTCTCTGTAGTCTATACTTAGTAGTGCCCTCCCATTGTGACTCTGGGCTCAACTATATGACTTTGACCAATGTGCTATTAGCAAATGTGACACAAACAGAAGCTCTAAAAGCTTAAAAAGGTTTTCTTACTCTTACCCTCTGAAATCTCCATGCCCAGGCTAGCCTTCAGATAATAAGAGGCATATAAGGCAAGTCATTCCACTGGAGCAGCTAACAAACAGGTGACATGTGAGTGTGCCTAGTCCGAGATCTGTAGGGCTGTTTATATTGTTTGATTGTTCTACCATACTTAATGAAAGATATCACATAGAACCATACAACCAAGCAAACAATGTAAGTAAAAGTAACAAAGAGTCTAAGGACAGGGTGGGAATTCAGGTGGTTAAAGCACAAAATGTTCAGTGTGAGAAAAAAATGTGTGACAAGAGAAAAAGATGCATTATATTAGAATTTAAAAACACTTTCAATTCTAGAATAAAATGTTTATATTTTATTATATGAAAACTGAGGGAAAGTTAAGATAACATTTAAGCTGAGCTTTTAAGTGTAAATGGAATGGGCAACATGGAGTAGGATTGAGGAATGGGAAGAACTATTCAAAAGGCCTTGACACAGGGCATACTGTGGTCAAAGAAACTAAAGGAGACCAAGAGTTTGGATTTTATAAATATAACAAGAAACCACCAAAGGCTTTAAAGAAGGAAAGTGACAGGACTGGCCTTATGTAATGAGAAGTTCTGTTACTGGACAAAGAATAGCTGAGGGAATGAGGGTGAAGCCATTAGTGGAAGCAGAAAAGTCAAGAGTTGAAAGCAGGTGGGAGTGGAGGGTATTGTATGCAATTTGGAAAGACTTCAATTTAGATAAGATGTTACTGCATTCAGCAACTAATATAACTTTGAAAAATACATACAAATGAAAGGAGAAACAGCTTAACTTTCATAAATGCAGTTCAGTCATTGTTCAAACATTTTTGGAATTATGCTAAGAATTGTGAATACCAGAAGCTTATAGCTAGTGGGATAAATGCACAACACAATGAAATAAAAGTTATCATTTAGGAGGTGTGTATACACAAGGCATGCTCCTGGAGGAAGTAGGAGAGTTCTTTCTAAATTCAATATTCAGTTTCTATACATTAACTGTAGTTCATAAAGAATTCATTTCACAAATATTTATGCCTACTATGTGCCTATTATTTGTGCCTATTACATCAGGCAGCAAAGAATGAAACAGTTTGATGTGTACCCATTTTTCTTCATTACACTAAAAACAGCAGAAAGCATAAAAGATCATTTCCTCATTAGCTTCAGTATCTTTAGCAATAACAAAGAAAAAATATAAATCCTAAACTACCTGTCATAAAATGAATCCCAAAGGATAACCAATCACAACAAGAAGGAAATAGAGGAACAACTTAAATACCCTGAAGAAACAAGCAAATCCAGAAATGGAGATACTATACTGGTACTCCTTACTGCCTTACTTCTTCAGAAAGGCAATAGGATGAAAAAAAGGAAGGGCAAGGACAAGGTTATATTAAATTAAAAGTGATCTTTAAAACTACTTGCAGCAGGGCTCAGCGGCATAGGCCTGTAATCACAGTGGCTTGGGAGGCTGAGGCAAGAGGATCAAGAATTCAAAGCCAGACTCAGCAGCAATTTAGAGAGACCCTAAGCAACTCAGTGGGCCCTGTTTCTAAATAAAACAAAATATGGTTCGGTGGTTAAATGCTCCTGGGGTTCAAGTGAGCGCCACCACGCCAGCCCCAGTCTGTAATAATCATTGTTGTTTGGTTGCATTCAAGATTTGTTTTTTTATCTTTGGTTTGTGCACCATGACTATGATATGCTTAGGTTTATTTTCTTATTTTTCATCTCGGGGCTCATTGAAGTTCTTGGATCTAGATGTTGATGTTTTCCAACATCTTTGGAGCAGTTGTAACCCATTATTTTTTCAAAAATTTTCCTATCTTATTCTCTTTCCTTTTTTTTTTTATAAGACTCCAGTTTCATGACTATTAGGCCGTTTTATATCATTTACAAATCACTAAAATTCTTTCTATTTTTCTTCAATCAATTTTCTCAATGCTCTTTGGATTGAAAGCTTTCTTTTCCTATATCCTACATACTGTTAAGTCCATCCAGTAAATTTTTTTTCATTTCAGAAATTTTACTTTTCAGTATTAGAACTTGATTTACTTACCCTCTTGTAGTTTTGATTCCTTTACCAGTTTTCCCATTTGTTTACTCATTAAAACTATATTTTCTTTAATCATTGAACATATTTAAAATTGATGCTTTGTACTTATTATCTACTAAATCATATTATATTTATATTTATTATCTACTAAATAATTTAGGTCATCTCTGCATTTGTTTCTATTTAATCCTTGGAGGGGGACTTATGGATATCATGTTCTTACATTCTTTGCATGTACAGTAATTTTTAATCATATATTATATATAGCAGAAGATATATATTAAAACATAGAAATATGATTTCAAACATTTTTGGAATTATGTTAATGCATTTTGTTCTGGAAAACAGATTTTTAGGGTTTTGGTCTGTTTGTTTTTTTGATA